GGTTTTAACTCCAAGATAGGTGGTTGCTCTACTGAAGGCAATTTTGGTCTTTGCTCTTGCTCTGATCGATTTAAGGATTCAAAGACCCTTTCTTTCCTTCCCTGGGGTTGGTTGAAACTGATGGATGCAAGGTATTCTTCCAGCTCCTCAAAGTCCTTAATGCCTATCTCTGGCTGCAAATGCTCCTGCTGTTCTTCTCGTATGACCGAGTCAAGGATCGAAATGCTAGAGCATTCCTCAATGTTATCTTCATCAAACCTTATTGCTTTCATAACATTAAACTTCACTTCTTCTCCGTTTACACTCATAGAAAGTTCACCCTTTCTGACATTTATGATAGCATCACCGGTAGCCAGAAATGGTCTGCCCAAAATTATTGGAACTTCTTGATCTGCTTCAAAATCTAAGATGATGAAGTCAGCTGGTAGAATGAACTTGTCTACTTGGACAAGGACATTCTCAATTTTTCCTTCTGGCTTGGCTATAGATCGGTCTGCAAGTTGAAGAGTGACTGTGGTTGGTCTTGCTGCTCCTATGTCAAGCTGCTTGAAGATGGAAGCTGGAATTAGATTTACACTTGAGCCCAGATCACAAAGTGCCCAACCAAGATAGTTCTTCCCAACTGTACACGGGATGGTGAATATACCAGGATCCTTTAGTTTGGGAGGAATTTTAGTCAGGTACTTGCACGATTGTTGAGTGAGGGCTACGGTCTCAAACTCTTCGATTTTTCTTCTTTTTGACAAAATGTCCTTCATGAATTTTGCATATGAAGGCATTTGCTCCAGGGCTTCTACTAGAGGGATATTTATGTGAAGTTGTTTCATCAAGTCAAGAAACTAGCTAAACTGTTTATCCTCGTGTTGCTTTTTCAACCTCTGTGGAAAAGGAGGCTCGATCGGTTCACTCCTTCTCTTGCATGGGGGAACATAAGTTGGAACTGAAACTGGTTCACTGACTTTTGTTGCTCCAAGTTCTGCTACAGGTGTTGCGTCATCCGGTTTGATTTCAGCAGACTCATTGCTTTGGACCTTCTCTTCTGGTCCTGTCTGAGCTTCAAGGTGTGAAGGGTCAGTGGCTTCTTCAACTTCCTTTCCTATGGGCTGTTTTGCTGGTTCACGCTTTCGATGTCGTGCCACTAAGTCTGGGGATGGTAAGGTCTTTCCATCTCGCAGGCTTATAGCATTACAATGCTCCTGGTTATCTTGAGACGGCTTTTCTGTATCACTAGGGAGAGTCCCTGGTTGCCTCTGTTTGAGTTCTCCAGCCAGCTGACCAATTTGGGTTTCTAGGTTTCGCATGGCTGCGCTGTTCTGATTCATGTACTCCTTGACAGAAGTTTCAAAGGATTGGGACTTCCCTTCACCCTTATCCCAGTTTTGTTGGTTCTGCCTGGGATACGGGGGTCGGTTCTGGTAGTTTCCTCCACTACCTCCAGCATTATTCTGATTCATCCAGCCTCGGTTATTGTTCCCTTGATGGTTGTCATTGCTCCTGTTGTTGTTGTCATACCCTCCTGCATAGCACACAGCAGCTAGATTGTTACAGTCCTCATATTTATGAGGACCTCCACAAGTGGGGCAACTCTGACTTGATTGAGTTAAAAGAAGTTGCTCAGTTGTTTTTTTCTGTTCCATGGGCTTCCAGTTTTTTATAGTGTTCTGGAGCGAAGCCATTTGTGCAGAAAGAGCATCAGCTGAGCTTAGCTCAAGAACTCCTGCTTTCTTAGGAGCACTGTGTCGTGTGGAAGGCCATGAAATATGTTTTTTTGAAAGTTTTTCCAACAACTGGTAGGTCTCTGGATAAGTAAAATCCAAAAGATCTACCCTTGCGGCTGCATCAACAGTTGCTTTCAATGGTGGGGTTAAACCATGATAAAACGTGTGAATGATGCCCCAATCAGAAACTCCATGATTCGGGCAGATTCGTATCAACTCTTTAAAGCGTTTCCACGCTTCATACAGACTTTCTCCATCATACATTTGAAAAGAAGCTATGTCAGCCCTTACTTGGGCTTGTTTTGCTTGGGGAAAAAATCGGGTAACAAACTATTCCGCCAATTGCTCCCAACTAGTGATGGAGTTTGGGGGCAATGTTCTCCTCCATTCTTTGGCTTTTCCAGCTAAGGAAAATGGAAAAAGCCGCATCCGCATGTTTTCTTCCGAAATACCATGAACTTTGAAATTGTCAACTATCTCAGTGAAATTGTCCAAATGACTGTGAGGGTCTTCCATGGGTAGTCCATGGAACTGACCAGCGTTCATAATCATTTGGAACATTGCAGGTTTTATTTCAAAGTTCGGGATATTCAGAGGAGGGGGAACATATCCTCGTTTTGGACCATTTCTGAAGGGAGCAGCCATATCATTCAATGATGGCCCTCTTCCTCCATTCGGTCCTGGTTCAGGCTCATGATTATGATTTCCATTGTTACCATTGTTTACAACCTCCTCCATTGTACTGTTTTTCAACCTTTGAACTCTTCTTCTATTTCTGAAGGTTCTCTCGGGTTTTGGATCAAAAAGTACTATTTCCAGTCCAAGTTCTGTAGGTTCTGTACTCATACAAATGGAGGAGGTTTATTAAAACAAAAAGACTGCGATTAAACAGCAAAAAAAAGAAAAAAAATGTTTCCTTAAAAACGCCATTTCTTGCCAAATGATCCTCGGCAACGGCGCCAATTGCTTGGTCGAACCGAGAGTTGCTCGGGAATATTTCTTTCAGAGAGCAAGAGTGTAGATTAGTAATCAGGATTGCCAACAGGAGCAATCTACTCTGACTAAGAGCAACCCTCTTCAACTATACGCAAGCGTACGTGTCAAGCAATATAGGGTATTATAGCCCCAGATTTATCGTCCTCAGGGAGCAGTTGTGAAGTAAGAAGCGCTAAAGGAAACTTAATTTGTAAAATGGAGCAATAAAGGGAATCACTATTCTCAGCTAAGCTTCACAAAGAGCAATCTCTGAGCAGCTAGTTAAACAATGTTAACCATTCTGAACCAGATGAGAGCAGTGAATGACTTAGCATGGTCATCGAATAAAATGGCATCAATTGAAGTAACTTTAAGAGCAGTCAACGAAATGAAAGTAAGATCATCAGCTAGTAAAACACAGTTCAGTTATCGTGAGGAAAAGGTTGTGATAGGAATTGAGTTAAGATTAATTTCAGGAAGAAAAAGATCAAGTAGGTGTTACGGGTTCCATGTTTTCATCCCTTTGGTTAACCCTGCCTGGTAGCATATTTTACAAGTGGATTTTGCTCCTTCCCTTGTTTTGCTATAGGTAAGCAGAGGGTAAGGCCTTACTCTCCACGTTACTCCATAGTACTTGGAGTTATATGCAAGGAAACCATGCTGCCTTCTCAAAAGAGCATGGATTCACATGGCAGTGCTCCCCATTCCAGGTGTTTATCCCTCATTTCTTCAGGCTAAACTACCCCAGGATTTTGAGAATGCTCCACACGCCTTTGTCAGTGTTTCATCAACCGAGTGGTCCCGGGATGAGGTTGCCAGCCCAAAGGGTTTCACAAAATCAATAAATTAAACCAAAGAGCAACTCAAAATTCATTTATAAAATATGTGTTCCTTACAAAGCTATCCTAAGACAAAAGGGATTACTTCTATGGAACCCTCACCTACTTAGAGGAAGTTAGCTCCTAGTGAGCATTTTTACAAAGAAATAGGAAAACAAAGAGACAACCGGTCCTAGGATGGGTGCTGATTCTGCCTCTCTATGAGGATTGCTTGTTCCTTTTATAGGGTTCTTCATTTGATCTCCATTGTTCCTTTCATCAAGGGTTGCGCTTTGTCTAAATCCTCTCCAATGGTAGCTTTGCTTCTTGCCAGCTTGGCCTTAAATGGAAGTGGTCCCCCCTTGCTTTTGGCTCCTTTTGTGAGTAGGGGTATCGGATTCAGGTCAGCACCTCCACCTTCTCTGCTGTAGCTGACGTGGCGGCTCCCCATTGCTCAGCTTCTTTGCTTTCGTACTGTAGCAGAGGCAGCACCTCCACCTTCTCTGTTGTAGCTGACGTGGCGGCTCCCCATTGCTTCCTTTGACTGCTGTTGTACTATAGCAGACTTCTTTTTCCTTTCTGCGCAACACTCCTTCTTCTCTCTTCATTTTGTGGTTCCTTTTGATGGGCCTTAGGTGTCCTGAACAAAGCAAACTAACCCAATAGTTATATGTGAAAAAGATAATGTTAAATTTGCTCCAGGTCTACCTTAATTCCCACTTTCGGCATTGCTCTGGTCCACTATTCAAAACAGTTGCTCTATATGAAAAGAAGAAGGTTGGAGAGAGTGATTTATAACCAAAACATGGGTTTTGTGGAACAATTTACACTTAATGGGCCTCAACTCTTGAGGACTATCAGTGCTTGCTCATCCTTTGGTGGTTGTCTTCCTTAACCGATTTGGGAGCATTTGGGTACATGCAAGAGGTATATTTCGCAAATCAAACTTTCCCTTTCACCCTCACTATTTCGGCTTTGTAGATGTAAACACGGAGAATATGTTTTTGTCATTCTCCTTCCTTGCTTTCTGTTTCGTTGGAAAACACCATGGCCCTTGGTGCATGCAAGCCAAAATCGATTTTGGAGCTTGGAAAATAACAACCTCATCATTTTATGGACTGTTCTTTTGGACTAGCGAATTTATCAAGCTTTACATGTGATAAAAATGATGTAGACAGCATGCTAAAAGCCTAAATAGCTCACACTTAATTCTTGTAGGTGGTGTTATATTAAGCGAAAAAATAGAGGCACCAAATGATGGCCTAAGGACCGAATCTCACTCGTTCTGATTTGAACGCTTCCTTCGTTCCCAAGGTCAACCTTAGATCTATGTAGCCTTTAGGAGGTGTATTTTCGCCATTAAAAGCTATTAAGGTTGTCTTGCAGGGTTTGAGGTCCTCCTCATCAAGGTTCATTTTTTTGAAGGCATCCCATAGTATGATGTCGACACTGTTTCCTGCATCTATGAAGATCTTTTTAACCCGGCAATTCACCAGGGTTCAGTGACAACTAGTCCATCTACATGCCCTGGCAAAACCCCTTGCATATCTTCCTTTGTAAAATAGAGCAGAAGAGGATCTGGTTTGCTGGGATTTTCCTTAAATTTAGGACGATCTCGGATCGACAACACTTCTTTTAGGTACTTTCGCCTAGCACTTACCGTGTCTCCTCCTCCTCCCAAAGCTCCACTGATTACATTATAATCGAATTCGGCTACCGGGAATTCATCGTTATTGGAATCATCTTTCTGGTTCCTTTCTTCTTTCTTTTTCTTCTCAGGGACCGGACTCTTGCTCCTCTTCCGATTTCCAGACTTTCTTTTGTTGTTTTTGGCACCCTGATTTTTGATCACATACTGGCGTAGTTTCCCCTCTCTAACAAATTTCTCCACAACATCTCGGAGATCCCAGCATCGATCAGTGTTGTGACCCGATCCATCATGGAAGGCGCAATACTTGTACTTATCCAAACCTCCTCTATCAAATATGGGCCGAGGTTTATCTACTTTCTTCATCTCCGTCATTGTCACTTCCCTCCAAATTTGAAAGCGTGAGGCATTCAACGGTGTATACTTATCATATCTTCCAATTCGATCTCTATCATCCAGGATCCTGCTTCTGGAGTCTTTCTATTTATTATCGGGTCGCTCCTTTTCTCATGGGGTCGGGCTCCTCCTTCTTGGACTTTCTCTTTTACCTTCCTCTGATAGCGCATTTGCTATCTCCATTTGTTCGAGTTCCAAGTATTTCTTGGAACGAGTTCTGAAGTCCTCCAACGTCCTCACAAGGTCTTTGTAGACCGACTTGGCTGGCCTAGATGATCCATCTAGGCCAGCCACAATGAGGTGGACGTGGACATTCTCTTGTAAACCCGGCACTTGCAAGGCAGCATCCTTGAACCGGTTGAGATACCTCTAGAGGGTTTCTCCGGGTTGTTGTCGTATCTTCCCTAGTGCGAATTTGGACTTTGGGTGCTTTTTGCTGGTTGCAAAATTCAGAAGGAACTTTTCTCCAAATTCCTCAAAAGATCCAATGGAATTGGCAGGAAGGGTTGAAAACCATGCCTGCGCTGCCCTAGTCAAGGTTATGGAAAATATCCGAGATATGAGGGGCTTATCTATTCCTTGAATATACATGTCCGTGTCAAAGGCATCTATGTCGACCTGTGGGTCCTGACTTCTGTCATATTTCGGCAAGCGTGCTGAATCAAAATCCTATGGAAAAGGAGCATTCAGTATCTCGCCAGTGATGAGGCTGTTATTATATTGCCCCCTACTGTATTTCCTCCTGTACCGACCGGGTTCCACGCGTCCTCTAGTGGTTTGAGCATTAAGGTTGGGGTGTGTACCATCCCGGTTTCTCTGCCCATTTGCCTCTGCTGAAGCATTCTAGGTCAAAGTTTACGCAACAACATTCTGATCACCTGTTCCAATGTTCTTCGGGTTCGGACCCAACGTGCTCCCAAGATTGGGCCTTCCATTGTTTCTCGGGTTCGTACCCGATATGATCCCAAGATTGGGCCTTCCTTGGTTTTCTACCCCAGTAACTCGGTTTTGATGATTTGGGTGTTGGTTCCCTTCTCTGCCATTAGCATCTCGGCCTTGGACCTCTCTCACTCTAGGCCATGTCATCCCCATTAAGCGTTGTTCCAACCCCTGCATCTTCATGGTATTTTCTTCCTGCATTATCTGGAAATCTTGCCGCTGGAGGTTGTTACGATTCTCCATCTCCTCCATTCACCGTAAAACTGCAGCCACCGCATTTTGAGCGAGTCTGGAATCAAGATCCGCAGGTTGGGCAAAGCGAGCAGCATCAGCAATATCCCTAGGATGTTGGGGAGGATTATTCAGAGCTGGAGCTGCAACTCGGTCGTGGGGTGCTGGGGTGGAGGCTGTATCTGATACATCCTCACTGTCATGAACATGATTATAATCTATTTCATTCTCAGGCTGGTTTCGAGGTTGATTCACCTCTTCCAGAACTGGATCCAGCGGCTGATTCTGAGGGCGTGACTGTTGGCTATTACTCCTTGTTCGGACTGCCATCTTCAGTCAAAATGTCAAATTCAAAGAAGAATTCCCCACAGACGGCGCCAATGTCCTGTCTTGGAGACAGAGATGTCCAGCCCAATAGACTGGTATGTTGATCTTGGATCTAGTTCCCTCTCCAAGGTATATATGAAGAAGATACCCTTGAGCCAAGCAGATCACTGTGCATAACGAACTAATAACGGCTTTTGCCAATGGGGTGTGCGTGTGGACACAGTGACAACATAACAGTAAGGGAGAGAGCGTAATGTACCTTTAGGGTTTACCTTTCATTTATAGAGGTTACATGTGGGTAGTATGATGTGGGCCTTTAGTACCTCTGATAAGGGCCCAGGCCTGTCTGCTAAGCTGTCATATTAGGATTAGTATCCTTGATGGATATTATCCGTAATTATACTTGATTTGAATCTTGGATTGGGTCTTTTTTACGAGTCTATAACAGTTTCAATAATCAGAAATTTAAATAAGAAATAAAGAACCTTGACCCGTTATCTATGGAAAATAAGAACCAAAGGTATAAAAAAGGATAAAGACGCCACACTCAAGAAAGAAGAAGGTGATTGATAAGTCTAGTTTGAATGCCACAAGAACAAGCTTCTTGATAAGTTTAGAGTTCTAGATAAGAACCAAAGAGTATAAACCTCTCTATTGTTATTATAATTTCAAAAGTCTGATTACAAGAGTTGTATCCTCCCTTATTTATACTTGGAATATCCCTCCAAGAATAGGAACAAACAAACAAATGAAAAGACACTAATTTAATGTTGACAACTTGAAAAATGAAAAAGACTCTAATCAGCCCACTAAACATTAATAACATTGAAAGTGCTAATCAGCCCCACTAAGCGTTAATGATATTGAAAATTGCTAATTATTCCACTAAACTTTCCTTGCATTGATGACATTAACTAAATTTTGATTATGATTTAATTTGGACTTGATGTCTTCATGATTAGCCCACATTTGCTGGATCAACCCACTAAGATCTTCCTTAAACTTCTTGGCCCTTGACCTTGTAATTGGCCCATTTGGTAATTGTAATAGATCATTGGGTGTTGTCTCCTTATTCATATCATTTCCTCCGTCTTTAGAAGAATTTATCCTCAAATCTGCACCTATATCATAAAGAGATAAATCAGAAACATTAAAGGTTGCACTAACATTGTACTCACCTGGAAGGTCAAGCTTGTAGGCATTATCATTTATCCTCTCAATCACTTGAAATGGTCCATCTCCCCTTGGAAGTAGTTTGAAACATCTTTGGGCTGAAAATGTTTCCTTTCTCAAATGTAGCCAAACCAATCTCCTGGTTCAAAAACTATTTTCTTGCGCCCTTTATTGGTTTGGTTGACATGTTGTTCAGTTTTCCTCTCGATGTGTTGCCGAGCTTTTTCATGAATCTGCTTAAAAAGTTCAGCCTTCTTCTTTCCATCTAAGTTAACATGTTCACTTACTGGTAAAGGAGTTAAATCCAAAGGAGATAATGGATTAAACCCATATATAATTTCAAATGGTGAAAACTTAGATGCTGAATGGACTGTCCTATGATATGCAAATTCAGCATATTGAAATCATTTTTCCCATGATTTCAAATTCTTTTAATTCAAAGAACGCAATAATGCAGATAAGGTCTTATGACCCCTTCTGTTTGGCCATCTGTTTGTGGGTGACAAGTAGTAGAAAACAAAAGTTTTGTTCCTAGTTTACCCCATAAAGTTTTCCAAAAATAACTTAAGAACTTTGAATCTCGATCGGAAACAATACTTTTGAGAATACCATGCAATTTTACAAATTCTTGAAAAACAAGTCAAAGATATGTGATGCATCATTGGATTTATGACATGGAATGAAATGTGTCATTTTTGAAAATCTATCAACAACCACAAACACTGAATCTTTACCCTCTTGTGACCTAGGCAATCCTAAAACAAAATTCATGGATATATCTACCCAAGATTCATTAGGTATAGACAAAGGATTATACAACCCATGATGCTTAACTTTAGATTTAGCTTGTTTACAAGAAATGCATCCCTCACATAGGGTGCACATGACAACCTTCCCGGAATCAAATTTTTTTTTTTAATTTCGGTTCCCGGGAACAGCAATGGATAGAAAACTCGTTTGGTAAAACCGGTTTATTTTTTTGTTCCCGGGATGAACCGGATTAATTTTTGTGTTGTGGAACAGAAAAAAGAATCAAAATATTTCTGCTTTTTTTTTTCCCGGGCACAAAATGAGAAACACTTATCTCGCTTAATTACTCTCCATCTATGCCATCATCACCACCACCACCACCATCTTCCCAACACGACCACCACAATCATCGTCACCGCCGCCGTCGTACCATTAGTGGTGTCGTGACCACCCCCACCACCATGATGCCATCGCCACCATCACCACCACCTTCACCCATCACTACCACCATGCCACCATCACCATCACCACCACCACAACTACCACTGTTGCAACCACCATCACCACTATCACCATCACCGTAACCACCACCATCACCACTACCGCCATCAACCACCACCAATATCATCGCAATCATTGCCGCCACCGCCACTATCGCCATCACCACGCCACTACCACCACCACAACGCCGCCGCTACCATCACCACCACTATCATTGCTGCAGCCACCACCGCCACCGCCACCAACCACCACCACCATCGTCACAGCCACTACCGTCACCACCACCACCATCGTCACAGTCACTACCGTCACCACCACCACCATCGCCACCATTACACCACCACCACCACCACCACCACTATCACCTAACGCCACAGCCACTGCCACCACCACCACCACCTCCATGATGTCATCACAACCACCACCACCATGCCACCGCTACCATTGTCACCGTCACCAATGCCACCAACCACCATCCCTACCACCATTGTCGCAGCCATTGCCGTCACCTCCACCACCACCATCCCCACCACTATCGCCGCCGCCGCCACCATTACCACTTCCACTACCATCACAACCACCGCCACTATCATTACCACGCCACCACCGCCATACCGCCGCCACCACCACCACCACCTCCGTGATCTCATCACAACCACCACCACCATGCCACCGCTACTATTGTCACCGCCACCAATGCCACCAACCACCATCCCCACCACCATTGTCGCAACCATTGCCGTCACCTCCACCACCACCATCCCCACCACTACCGCCGCCGCCGCCACCATTACCACTGCCACTGCCATCACAACCACCACCACTATCATCACCACGTCACTACCACCGTACCGCCGCCGCCGCCACCACCACCTCCACCTCCATGATGTCATCATAACCACCACCACCATGCCACCGCTACCATTGTCACCGCCACCAATGCCACCAACCACCATTGTCGCAACCATTGCTGTCACCTCCACCACCACCACCCCCACCACTACCGCCGCCACCATTACCACTGCCACTGCCATCACAACCACCACCACTATCACCACCACGTCACTGCCACCGTACCGCCGCAGCCACCACCACAACCACATCATATAGAAAGGAAAGTGATGATCCGAATTTTTTGTACATTTAATAAGAATTATTTTTTATTATATTATTTGTTAGGTTATCAAACGTAATTCTCATTCTCGGAATAAAAATAGAACATGTTATCAAACACATTTTTTTTCTCAGAAATTGTTCCAAGGAATAGAAATAGAAAAGAATTGTTTCTTTTCAGAAACAATGCTAGGGAATAAAATGGTTGTCATACACACACCCATACTTTCTCCACATCACGTTTCATATAAGGCCAAAAGAAATGTTCACGCATAATAAATAATGGAAAAAATGTTTCTGCAGTTAATGCAGATAAGTTATCTGCATTTATTCCCAAAACGACGTCGTTTTGGTATTAAAATCTTAAAAAATTATAAATATAAATACTATTATAACCCTGAAATACATTAAAATTATAAAAATACCATGATTTTCGTCCCAAAACGACGTCGTATTGGGCTTACTGCAGATAATTTATCTACAGTAACTGCAGAAAAAGCGAACTCATAAATAATACATTATGAGCGTCTAATATATTTGGTATTGTTTTATTTTTATCATCAATCTATTTTTTTCTATAGAAGGATAAAATAAATAAAATAATTAAATTTTTAATTGTGTTAAAAATAAATGTAATTAAAAAGAAGTATACGCTGGCGTTAAGTGATTCCAAGGAAAATAATAAAGGGTTTTTTAAACCTTACTCAAATTAAAAACCGGATAAGAGTCAATACTTGCTCAAACTTCACTGTATTTAGAGTCCGTTTGGATGAGCTTTTTTTTTTTTTCAAAAGCTGTTTTTTTTAAGCAAAAAAAAGCACTTCTCGAAAAAAGTCTGTTTGGATGCCTGCTTTTCAAAAAAGCAGAAGTCATAAAAAAAGCCAAAAACTTATTTTTTTTGGAAGCTAAAAATTTTAGCTTCTCAAAAAAGCAGAAGTCAAAAGTCAAATATTTTTTTTCAAAAATCAAATATTTTTTTAAAAATCTAAATAGCTGTAACTTTTATAAAAAATACTTTTAAAATAAAGAAGTGATAAAAAGAACTTTTAAAAAAAGTGAATACAAACGGCCCTTACTAAAACGAGAGAAAAATAACTTTCCAATTGGGCATACCGCAGGAGAGTGGTGACAGGTGAGAGGGTAACAATGATGTTTGTAGAGAAGATAAGAACATTCGAAATGACCCTGTTGGCAGGCCCTTACACTCAACCTCGTTTCCCTTGCAATTGCAACCCAACCCTTTCTGTTTCCTGCTGCAAAACTCAAAAGACTGCAACACTAAGCATAACCGCAACCAAGAAAACAGAACAACGAAAGGGAAAGACATTTAGTGGGTCATTCAATCAAACAGTTGGTGCGCAACCTCTGCCTCCAAAGAAGACTGTGAAGAAAAGGGTATTCTTTTTAGACGTTAACCCGCTCTGTTATGAAGGAAGCAAGCCAAGCTTACACTCTTTTGGTCATTGGCTCTCTCTTTTTCTCTCTCAAGTCAGTCACGCCGACCCTGTTATTGCTGTAATCTCTCTCTCTGGTGTTTATTATATTTCTCCGTTTGCCCCTTTATTATTGCGCGTGTGCCCTTAAGTTTAGTCATGGTCGGTCTTATAGCCAATGTAGTATACCCTTAAAAATGGGGGGGGGGGGGGGGGGGGGGGTGGGGAATAATTGATTGTATAAAATTACATTGAACATTCATCCCTTAGTTTTTCATCCCCACTTTTTGAGGGTATACCAAACTAACCTTTAACAATAAGGCTGGCTGTTTTTGTGTATAAACAATTGGTAATGAAGAAAACAAAAAAAAAGTTTAAGAATTTTACATCAGTGGAGTGATTTTGTTTCGTATGATTTGTCAACTGGAGGAACTTTGGATGCACTAGTTGAAGTGCTTAGCAATTACCATTTTGGTTCAGAAATCAAGTATTCCAGTTGGTAGTTTTTTGAGTTTTTTTATGAGCAGTTGGCGTGCTCCTCTATCCTTGAGAAGTTCTTGCTGGGTTGTTTTTTTTAAAGGAGACAAATTATGTGGCAATGTGTAATCTTTGCTATTTTTTTGGTGCATGTGGTTGGAGCAGAACACAAGCATCATTGAACACTCCTCTATCCTTGTTATCAGCTTAGCTTCTATCTGGTGCTTGTCCCATGGTTGTTGTAATTTCTGTTTTGCAAATGGATTAGGCTGCTTTGCTGCATTCCTGGATTGCCAGCTTCCATTTTTTTCTTTTTGCTTTGTCTCATTTTTTCGAGCTCTTGCGTATACGTTGTCCTTGCCCGGATATATTTCTTGTCTCAATTCTCATCAATAACACTTCTCTCAAATCAAAATAAAAAAGAAGAAAAAGCTTGATTAGGTCTAGTATTTCCTTCTCCATCTCTTCTTTTTCCTTGTCCTTTTTGTACTTTTTTACCTCCTTTCTTAGGCATGCATATGACTAAGCAGGTTGTTGATGGAGAAAGAGGCTGTGAGAATCGCAGAAAGTTGCTACCTTCTTATAAAGCGCATAGGAAAAAATTCATGAGACACTTGTCACCTCTGCAAAGATTTTCAAGAGGTCATGTTGGGAGGTCCTATCAAGTTATCAATGATGTTCTTGGAAAATGCAATGTGCCAGTGAGTTGTTCATCATCATTATAATTCTATTTCTTTTCTATATTTTAGGTATATTTCTATATAATTTTTATTTCTGATGAGTAATATACTTCATCTATTGTAATATATTATTTGAAGTTAATGAACTGTGTGTCTAATGTGATGACAGTATGACACAAGGCTTATACTTATAATAATAGAGTACATGGGTTTGGGTCCTATTTACATGATGTAGGGCTAATAAAGAATAACTAAACAATCTATATTCTAACACTTCGAAATGATACCCCCTTAAGGTCAACTTAAGAAAAACAATTGGACTGAGTCAGCAATAGGGCAGTTAGGATGGAGTAATTCATGAATTGGGCCATTGGATAATTACTAATAGAATGGGGAGAAAATGTGCTAGGCAGCGTGGGCAACATGAAGACTATGTGGCTGTTATAAAAGAAAAAGGTATTGGGAGAGGAATCATCTTTGGGAAGTATTGGGATCCTTTTGGATATTGTTGGGAGAGACCCCTGAGCCTCTCGAATCGCTCAAAAATATCTTTTTTTTCTTTTATTTTCATGTGTTGGTTCTTTATTACTTGTAATCTGTCTCTGTTTGTATCACAGTCCTATTGTTAATGCAAGACTCATGTTGTTCTCTTCTTAATTCTCATATTTTTCTTGGTTGATTCTTATCAATTGGTATCAGAGCTCTAGATCCAGGAGCGCTGAAACCAGAAAAAAAAAGAAAAAGAAAAAGAAAAAATATGGAAAACAAATTTGGAGATTGGAAGAAAGAAGAGAAGCAACTAGAAAACAAATTTGAAAATTGGAAGAAAAGAGAAAGACAAGTTGAAGCAAATCATAGAGAGATACTCGGACTCCTTGAAGAGCTTCTTCAAAAGACCAAGCGTCACTCTAGAAGACGATCACGTACAAGAGGGAGGGGCAAAAGTTTTGAGGAGAACAAGACGATCGAGACTCAGGAGGAGGAAGATGAACTGGAATTTCTAAAACCAAAAATAGAGATTGTAAAAGAGGAAGCTCTTGTGGAGGTTGCGCAACCGACATCTTCATTCGGACAACCAGATTTCGGCTGTTGTGTGGAGAGGAAAATTCAGAACAAAAAAGAAGAAGAAAAACAGTCGCAAATGAAGGATGTGCAAGTAACGTTGTCGACACAGCCAACAAACTTCGATCTTTATGAGTATAAGGAGTCCCCCCAATTCATTTGTGAACAAAATCAAAAGACACATGCAAGTGAAGATGAAAAAGAAAAAGTAGAAGGGGAGATTTAATGTTCACTAGAAACCATTGAGAAGAAGCCGCAACAAAATCACATAGAAGAAGAAGAGATGCCGAGGAAGGACATGAATTCAATGAAGGCACCACTGGTAGCTGAGACGCCATACCCACAGGTGGTGGTAGTGGACCCACTGTCATTGCCTAAGAGACTGGGTTCGAAACGCTATAAGCAACGGTTGACAGAGCCTGCAACAATTAAAACGCTAGGAGAAAGATCTTGGGTAAAAAAGGGAAATGCATCAAATGAATGACCCAGTCCTAATAATGATAGATCTTGCCCCAATATTTTATGCAGAAATGGTAGGCCAGCCCAAAATGAAGTGTATGGTTCCTAGTTGTCTATTTTATGTATGGAAGAGGCATGGGAACCCTCCAGTCTACCTAGGTCTAATTGACTTAAAAAAATAGGGTGCCCTCAAAGTGGGCTGGATTGGACTTTCATGGAATGCAGACCCACAAGCCAACCCATTCAGTTAGCTTGTGATCCATTGATCTACTACGTCTCCAACCTGCAAACTAAGGTGAAATGGAATAATGCAAACCAACCCAATGGGTGCAGGGAACAATACAAGAGCAAAGATTATCGAAGCGGTGCTGTTGCTATTCCATGGTGGTCGTAGGAACCGTTAGGATGCATGGAGGTGCGATTAAGGGGTGGTTAGCCATTCGAAGAGGTTTTCCATGTTGGGATCGAAGGTGAGTTGGAGCCCATGATAACACCAAAGCAGTGCATCTAGGTAAGCAAGCAAAAGAACCCTTTTTATCTTGTCCATAGTCGACCAGAGGTAAGGCAAGGTAAGCAACATTATGGAGACTCCATGGTTATGCCTGAACGAAAGTATATACGGGTTTATGATGATATTTTGGAGACTCAAAATAAGGTTGATGAGAAAATAGAAAACTTAATTAGTTACAACATTCTTTCTCTTGATCATGATAGTGAAAATCAAGCAGTAAATAGACTTATTGAGGTCCAAGCTTGTATATTTACTCCTGGTAATAGGAGGGGTCTCCCACTTGGTTGGTTGCTAATGCAGGCTGATGTTGAATTCTTTTACCTGTTAGTTTAGAAGGTAGATGTATCTAACTGGAACAAATGGGCTATGGGTATGGTTGATGACTTGATTTCTAGGAAATTGAAGAAAAGGTATGGGATCCAAGTGGAAGTTGTCACAGCTGGTGGTGCTTTTGTGGGGTCCTACAATTCAAACTGTGGGATCTAGGAGGATATTTTTTTTACGATAACCTGCACTTTGAGGACAAGGTGCTTAAAAGGGGGGGGGGGAGTATTAATACAATATCGCCATAAGGTCAATTTAGGAAAACCAATTAGGTTGAGTCAGCAATTGGGCAGTTAGGATGGAATATTCATGAATTGGGCCATTGGATAATTACTATGGGAAGAAAATGTGCTAGGCAGCGTGGGCAACATGAAGACTATGTGGCTATTATAAAAGAAAGTTGTATTGGGAGAGAAATCATCTTTGGGAAGTATTGAGATCCTTTTGGATATTGGGAAAGACCCCTGAGCCTCTCGAATTGCTCATGAATATCTTTGTTTTCTTTTGTTTTCATCTAGGTTGTCAGTAGCGGCCTGTAGCGTCGCTACTGTAGCGGGTAGCGACGGTCGGCCGCTACAAACCGCGACGCTACGCGACATTGGCCGTAGCGAACGGTAGCGGCGTAGCGTAGCGGCAATACCGCTACCCGCTACACCACTCCCATGTTGGAATTTGATGGAGAATCTGGAGATGATGATGATGATTTTCTTCATTAGTTCACTTCTTGTACTAGACTATTTGACAATTTTATTGTTCATTTGTGTTTAGTTTTGGATCCTTCCTTGATGTTCCTTGTATTTGACATTGATTGTGGAATTATGTGTTTGATTTTGTGTGACTTCTTATGTTTGAGCATTAATACTAAAAGCGGTATTGCCTCGTTTCTTGACTGTTAGTATTATTTGTGGAATTAATACTTCACCGTAGCGGCAATACCGCTACACCGCTATACGATTTTTGGGGTCGGTCGCTACCGGCCGCTAACTGCTACTGACAACTATTGTAACACCCCGTGTATACCCGGTTTGTTATCATGTCATCGTATTATGCCACGCTTAATAAAAAAATGCGGAATAACTTTTTCTTTTCAATTATGACGTCATTAATATTACCAAGTTGATTACTTAATCTTTTTCATAAAACATCGCCTGTATGTAAATTGCAATTACACGTCTAACTGAAATACCTCGATAAATAAATAACTGAATGCGTCTCTAGTCACGGAACTACCACACGTAGACCGGACAGATCCTGATAGTTTATACAACTCAATTAAACTTAAACATCGTCAAATCAATGTGGCATGGAAAATCTCCATTCTCACCAAATAAACAGCATACTCATCAAGTCAAACAACATGGTAATGGATAAGGCATAATCACTAAACAGGTACATCAGCATAATCAACAAGCATATTAATCAACTAAGCTCCGGCCTCCTGTAACTAGAGGTCTCAACCCCTGGGTTACCTGAACCTGAAATATGTGCCCCAAACATGGGGTGAGATCTCTAAACAGAAATCTCAGTAAAGCAAGGGGTCCTCAAGGATTTCTCCACCCCAAGCTTACTTACATGTGCAATATAAGTTCTAAAAGAAATATACCATATCAGTTCCAAAATCAGTGCAATGCAACAGATAATCATGTCATGTGTCGGGGGCATATCCGGATATTCATATCCGGATATCATTCTGTATGAACAGTATCGCTACTGTCTCGAAATTCTCAGAATATCTGGATATATGTCAGGGGCATATCCGGATATCCATATCCGGATATCATATCCGGATATCACAAGACCCCATATCCGGATATCAATATCCGGATACCATATCTGGATATTTCGCGACAGAATGCAGTTCTGCATTTCGCGAGATATCCTTCCCAAAGGTTGCTCTTTTAACGATTCCAGAAGCTTAAACATGCATTTCTATGTGTGTTTAACCTTACCCAACTTTAAGTTACGAACTTTGGCTTATTACATACATCAAGGCTTCATTTTTAACTAAGGAAACTCATGATCAAGGTTGGTGAAGCTTACCAACAGTTCAAAACAGAGAAAGGAATGCTCTTGGAGCTCTCACAACAGCCACAAGACTCTGACTCCACAAAGACACGAAAATGCCAAGCAAGCAAGGTCCTTTCTTCTCAAAGGTTGTTTGAAGCCACACAAGCAAGGAACAATGGCTCCTTACCCACAAAAAGTGAAGTCAGCCTTTAAAACACTCATAAACAGCACCTCCCACTCAGAAAGTAGCTGACCCTCTCCCTCACAATGCTAACCCACACCCAACCAAGTGTTTAGATGAAGAAAATGAGTGGAAAGGTGAATACTTGGGAGATTTTCAAGCAAGGATGGCCAAGGAATGGAGGTGGCAGCAGCTGAGTCCAAAACTCACGTAAGAAGCACCAGCATTTTAACCTAGGATCATGTGCCAAGGCCTTATATAGGCCACTTAAGTTTTAATCGCACAGTATTAGCGCTAATAGTTACACTTAGCATATTAATTCCAAACTTAGGATTTTGAACCTACTCATTTTTCTAAGATTTGTCATATTTTTATTTTATTTTTCGCAGCACCTTTCCAGTACGCGCTTTTACATAGTTAGTATCAGTTCTGGCACCAGTTCTCATTATTTTGACCTCAAACTTGTTATACAAGTCC